AACATGAGCACCCGGAGAGGCCTGCCAGGCACTCAGGCGTCAAAGGCCGAAGGCCTGTAGATACGGAGCATGCTGGAACTCGTTCTTGCACTCCGCGCCCCCGGGGCATTTGCACCGCCCCATAGACGCGCGCTGGGCGCAGTCCAACCTCGAGCGAAAGCTGCCGCGGCGAGCGAACCCTCAGCCGTGTTGGAGCCGCTTGAGCCCAGACGATGACGGATCCGCCCTCCGTTCCGAGCAGCGCACCCGCGAAAAGGGACACCTCAGAATCGGTGATGGCCTGCACGTGCGGACAGCAAGAACGTACAACCCGCGTCACAACTAACGCAACACATTTGCAACCTATGCCAATCAATGCAATGCAATGCGAGGCGATTGCAAATCAAAGCAATGCAATGCAATGAGATTGCCATGCAATGTAATGCCACTGCAATGCAGAACATGAAATTGCAGGCACAGTTGCACGAGGAGGAAGATAAGCACGCTTTCTTCGAATAACACGAAAATGTGATGTGTCAGTGCGCGCATCAATCTCCATATTGCCTCAGCGGCCACTTATGCAACGCAGCCTCACGCAACGACCCAAGATATGATGGCCCACAGTGCCAATCTATCTAGTTGAAGCTCATGCGGATACGCGACACGACACGGCGGCAACGGCAGACGGCGGCAACGGCCCGACGACACGGCGGCGACGGCGACGGGGAAGGGGGAGGAGGAGGAGCAAGAGGAGGGCAAGGAGGAGGAAAGCGACGCGTTTCCCTGTGCGTCGCCGCCATTCGGGGCCCATCCGGCCGAAAGCGCCCAATGCCAGCAGAGATTCGTATGACCGCATGACGTCGCGCTCCAAGAGGGCCACAAAGCAAGATACACGGAAAGCTTTCGTGTATCTTGCTTTGGGGCCCTCTTGGTGCCCTCTACGGGCCCTGTTGGGACCCCTCGGAGCCCTCTTGAGGCCCCTCCGAAGGCGTCGGGAAGCCCCAAGAGGGCCCCAAGAGGGCCCAACGGGGCCTTCTTGGGCCCCTCCAAAACCCTCGAGTGTCCCAAGAGGGCCCCAAGACGGCTCCAAGAGGGCCCCAAAGCAAGATACACGGAAAGCTTTCGTGTATCTTGCTTTGGAACCCTCTTGGTGCCATCTTGGGCCCCTCTCGGGACCTCTCGGAGCCCTCTTGAAGCCCCTCCGAACGCCCCGGACCGCGACAGAGCACACGGAGGGAGGCGGACGGCTGAAGCCCCCTCCTCCCGCTGCAGCTGCGGGCGGAAAAATGAACTTGAAAAGGATGGCCGCGGCCGACAGCATACCCTGCCGGTCATTCTCGCGTCGGAGGCTGCAATCGTCGAAGTCCTCCCGAAATCGGTCCCCGGAGCCCCTACGGATTCCAAGCGCACCTGTTTGTCGAGCTGCGTCCAGCCGGGACGACGAAGAGGGCCCCCGAGGGCCACAGACCCTCAAGATTCGGTCTCTGGGGTTCGAAGCTCGAACTCCGACGTGACAACGGCCAGGACGCGACGAAGGCGCAGCTCGAATGCAGGACTCCGCCGACGAGGATCCGCCGACGAGGCTCCGGCGCCCCTGCCGGCGCCGCGGGGCGAGGGGAGGCTCTCCATCCATCTTTCCCTCCCTCTCCTCGTCCCTCCTTCCTCCCCTGCCCCCTCTCCTCCCCAACCTCTCCCCCTCCCGAGGCGTTTTTGCACGGTCCTGGTGCCCACGCGGCATCCGAGGCCAAAGGGTCGAGGCTCGAGGGAGGACGCTTTGCGAGGTCCTGCACCCCCAAAATCTAAATGTCCCTGAAGCGGTCGTGGACTGCAGCCCCGGGGCGCCGAAAATATTGCCCTGGGAGAAATTCTTGCCCTGGGAAAGCCACCCCGGGCCCCTCGCGGGGCTCGCCCGAGCCGGCACCCCTGTCCCGGACGGATCTTCGAGGGCCCCGGGGCCCGGGGCAGGGAAGCCCAACTTCGCCTAACGACTGGTCGTTTTTGTTTTCGCCGTTTTGTTTTCGCCGTCCCGGGGCCCTCAACCGGAGGCGCAGGAAAGAGAATCGAAGATCACCAAGGTCGGTTTTCCAGGGCCCGGGAGCTCGCGGGGCCTTGGAGACAGAAAAGCCGAGGCTCGAATGAGGAGGGGGGCGGGGCTCAGAGAACGACTCCGAGGCCCAAGGAGCCGGTATCGCCCTCGAGGCTTGTCGGGCCCCCAGGCCGGGGGTGCGCTGCGGCGGCTCACCGCGGCCGCACTGGCTCGGTATCAGACGAGCCCGAGGAGCCGGTCTCTCCCTCGAGGCCTGTCGAGCCCCCAGGCCGAAGGTGCGCCGCGGCGGCTCACGACGGCCTCACCGGGTAGCTGCCGGATGATGCCGAGGAGCCGGTGTCGCTCTCGTCGCTATCGACCGCGAACGTGCAAGTCGGCGAAGTGCTCGCGGCAGCAGGAGGCGCGCGTGGAACCAGCGGCTCGAGCGCGCCCGGTTCGCCGAGAGCTGGGTTATCGAGCGCCTCGCCAGCCGACCGCAGGAATCGGTCGAGGGTCTCAGGAGCAAGCTTGCCCTCCTTCTCCGCGACGCGGCAGTACAAGGCTGTCCACGAGAATCCCCCCAGCCCTTTAGGGCATGAGTGGTCTAGGGAACTCGTTCTGCCAAACCCCCTTCTTCCCCTTCGGGGAGGGAGTTCCCCTTCCCCCAGCCCCCTCCTCCTGGACCTGTAGAGAGGGTTTCGCGAGGAATCGGAGCGCCCAGTATGGCCTAAGATGGCTCCAAGAGGGCCTCAAAAAGCCCAAGATGGCCTGGAAGATCGTGCAAGATAGCTCAAGATGGTTCAATATAGCTATCAACATGCATCCAAGAGCTCTGAAAACCTATCGGGCACGTGCTGGACAAGTGCCCGGTACTAGGTGCAGCAAGGGAGCGGGCAATGTGGACACATAGGTGACAAGATGGATGAAGTGCACTCCTAAACTGCATCATGCTGCACATCTTTCATCAAGGCAACTCCCCTGGCGATTGTTTTTGGATGGGCTGGTGGGGATACGCGAAGAGTGAAGAATCCCACCAGCCCTCTGGGCGTAGGTGGTCCAGAGCGTTTCCTCTTCCAGAAACCCCTCTCCCCACCCTCTCCCCTGGGGTTTCTTGTAGTCGCGAGTTAGCTTTGTACCTTGTATTTTCGTCGTGATCGTCGTGATCGTCGCGGCACCTCCGACCCAGACGCGCCTAGGCGTCGTTCCTGGATGGACTGGTGGGGATACGCGAAGCGTCAAGAATTCTGGGATTTGGTCTAAGCTGAGGTCCCCAATGAGCTGGTACATACCCTGGAGCTCACCGGTGGCCGCGCTCAGCTTGCCGCCGCCCTGTTCGGCCGGGCGCCACCCTTCCGTGACTGGCAAGAAGATCGTCCCCGCTCCGCAAGGTTCCACTCGAGGAAGGTATTTTAGGAGATCAAGAGGGCTCGCGATGGTGATGTTCATGTTGGCAGCGTTGACCCGGAATTGCTCTTGCATCATGGCTTTCAGGTCTTGGACGTCGGTAGTCGGGTGTGGCATCCTCAAGTAGATTGCCATCTTGCGCTTCGTGTCCACCAGTTCCATGATAAGGCCCATCTTGGGGCGATATTTGGCACCGCAAAAACAGTACCACCCCTGCCCCTTGACCCCCGCCGCCTCCTCTTCTAGCGTCCTCCGGCGGATCCAGGCATCCGACCTGAGCAGGCCACAGCACAAATCCCACCAGCCCTCTGGGCGAAGCTGGTTTAGCGAGTTGTGTCTTCTCTCTGCCAAAACCTCTTCCTCCCCCTGCCCTACCCCTCCCCTGGGACTGGACGGGGGGGGCGGGAAGGTGTCAGACCGTCCTTTTTGGCCCAAGATGGCTCCAAGAGGGCCTCCGAGAGCCCAAGATGGCGTCCAAGATGGCCCAGCATACCTCAACATGATTCAAGATAGCTTCCGACACGCATCCAAGAGGCTTCAAGACGGCCCCAATATGATTTCAACTGCCCTCCGACCATTTCAAGGACCCCCCCAAGAAGCGAAAAATGGATCCAAAACCTGAGGAAGACTGATGTTTTGTTTTGTTGCTTTTTCGCGTTTTCGATTCCGATGGGCTCCAAGAGGGCCTCCGAGAGCCCAAGATGGCGTCCAAGATGGCCCAGCATACCTCAACATGATTCAAGGTAGCTTCCGACACGCATCCAAGAGGCTTCAAGACGGCCCCAATATGATTTCAACTGCCCTCCGACCATTTCAAGGCCCCCCCCAAGAAGCGAAAAATGGATCCAAAACCTGAGGAAGACTGATGTTTTGTTTTGTTGCTTTTTCGCGTTTTCGATTCCGATGGGCTCTTGAGGAGTCAAGATGGCAGCAAGATGGCCCAAAAGAGCTCCAAGAGAGGCTCAAGAGGGCCCCTAGAGCGACCAGGAGCGCCCCAAGAGCGGCACAGCGGATCCCCAAGACGCTCTTTCCGAGCCTCCGAGGACGCGATCCGCATTGAGGGCTCCCCTCTTTTGCAGCACCATCAGCAGCACCGCCAACAGCCACAACAGCACCAGCACCAGCACCAGCAGCAGCACCACCACCAGGAGCAGGAAAAGCAGCAGCACCAGCAGAAGCAGCACCAGCAGCAGCAGCACGAGCAGCAGCAGCAGCACCAGCAACAGCGCCACCAGCAGCAACAGCACCAGTAGCAACACCCGCAGCACCAGCAGCACCAGCCCAGCAGCACCACCACCAGCAGCAGCAGCAACAGCAGCAGCACCAGCAGGATCAGCAGCACGAGAACCAGCAACACCAGCAGCAGCAGCATTGGCAGCAGCAGCATTTCGAGCAGCAACAACAGCACCGGCAGCAGCACCCGCACCCTTCGCTACCAGAGATCTTCCAATTCACCGTTGTTGCCTGCGCTGTTTCACGATGTGTCCTCCCTTCTCCCGTCAGCTGTCCTGGGAATCGTTCCTGGATGGGCTGTTGGGGATACGCGAAGCGTCAAGAATTCTCTTTGCGATGATTAGTGAGCGTGTTCGACTTGCACACGTAATATACATTCAACGCGTAGTTGCCCTGCACAAACCAGTTGTCCGTGTAATCGGACATTGCCACCAAAGCAAGCTGCTCTTTCTGGGAAACCGGTTTGCCCCCGACCTCCCGGAACGCTTGCATTCTGCCAGCCCTGGCGTCGACCTCGTCGTGCAGAACTGCCCCGATGGCCATGTCCTCCTGCTCGGCGGCGATCGTGAAGCCAGCCTCGCGAGCGACCGGGTTGCTGTTCATCCAATTGAGCAGATCTGTGGCCGCGGAGAGGGAATCGTTGAGGTCGTGCTTCTTCTGGCCGAGGAGGTACATGATCGGGGAACATGCTCTTTTGAGAGCATCGATCTGGATCGTCACGAACGCCCTGCGGAACTCCCTCCTGCCCGCCTTGGACATTTGCGAGTAGGGTGTGTTGAGGGCCTCCTGGCGGCGCTTGTGCGCCTTCTTCATCGACCTCCGATTTTTCCCGTGAATGCCAGTCAGGTCCGGCATGGCGTAATCCATCAGCGATGGCAAGACCCCCCTGACCTCGGAAGACGAGGCCCCCCCTGACCCCTCCGAGGCAGCCTGGGGGATCCCCCCCGGAGCCGCCAAGGAGGGGCCATCACGGAGGACCGGGCCCAGCTCACCAGTCGCCCGGGCGATGTCGTCGTCCTGCAAGCCTGACAATAGCAAAGCTTCCCATTGAGTTGTGAAATCCACGCATCCAGCCGCGTATTCCGAGCAGCGCTGCAGGCCACGAGCATTCCTGCCGCCCTTCTGCTCCTTACGAAGGATACGGGACATGGCTGCTGGAGTCACTCCTTCGGCAGCAGCCTCACACGTGCAGCAGGAGTTCTTCTTGTCGTACTGTCCAGTAGCTTCGTTCCACTCCGTATAAGATCTCATGTGCTTCCAATCGCCTTCGGAGGAAGAGAAAACGACACAAACGTACACTTTCGGATGCCGGCGCGAATTTCTAAGATCGGCGCTCGACCCCCCTGGCGGCGCCGGAAGCGCGCTCAAGGCAAGGGAGGGTGGCCCAACGCCGATCCCAGAAATCCGAACGGACTTCCGAAAATTGACGTTCATGTCGTTATTTTCTTACTCGGTCCTCTAGCAGAGCAGCCAGGGCGATCGCAGGGGCGGACCCTGTGAGGTGGCACCCAGGCGCCCTGCAGCCATACGTGCCCATCGTCTCGTACAACTTCATCGCCAGGATCAGCCTTGCGTTTTTGACACAACATGGCGCGTGTCTGCTCACACATGAGCGCGAGGGCCTTAGCGCGGAAATCCGGAGACACCGCATTCTGCATCTCCTCCCCGCTCGGCCGCCCGCCTGCGTCGACGTCGGAGCGGGATCCCGGAGTCATCGCCTCCTGCACCTCCCCGCCGCTCGCCGGTGCGCCGGTTCGCCTGCGTCTCTTGGGAGCCATGAGTGTGACGGTGCAGCAAGCAGCGACGTGCCCCACGTAAAGCAAGAAGTCCCACATCCTTACGACCGTCTGTTGGCGGTGAAGCGAGGAAAGCGCGAGCGGAGCGGTCTCGAGCCAAAGTGTGCTACGTCGTCGTCGTCGTCGCCGTCGTCGTCTCGAGCCGCGGCCGACAGCATGCCCTGCCGATTTCTCTCGCCTCGGAAGCTGAAACCGTCGAAGTCCTCCCGAAATCAGTTCCCGGCCCCCTCCAAGGGTCCAAACGCACAAGTTTTTGTAGCTGCGTCCAGCCGGGGCGACGAGGACGGCCCCCGAGGGCCAGAAAGCCTCAAGACTCGGACTCTGAAGTTCGAAGCTCGAACCTCGACGTGACCTCGGCCAGCTCCCCCCTCGGCCTGCCCCGGCGCTGCGGGGGCGGCCGCCCGAAAAACATGTCGGGAAGAAGGCGCAGCTCGAATGCAGGACTTGACACGTGTCTTCCTCCTCCTCCTCCTCCTCTTCTGCGTCCTCCTCCTCCTCCCATACATCTAACAGAACTCGCCTGAACGCACGTGTTGGAGCTGGCGTCGCAGGTATCGTGTGTACCCGAGTTAACAGATGTCCCACAAGCGCAAGGCACGGTCGTCGCTGCTGCCGTACCGTCGGTAGTGCTGCATGCTGCCTCGGGCGATCCCAAGGCCCTCTCGGACCGTCTTGGAGCTCTTTGGGGGCCCTGAGGGAACTCTTTGGGGGCCGTGTGGACCTGGGAAGCCTAATCTATAGCACATACGTAGAACACACGATTCGCTGGGGGCCTGGATTACTCTGGATCGTCGTCGTTCGTCGTCGTCGCCGCGCCGCCACCGCGACGTCGGCGTCGTCGCGCTGTCTGCTCGATCCCTCATCGGTGTAAGCGTGGGCTCTACAAGACCCCCCAGAGACCCTCCCAGAGAACCCCGGAGCCCCCCCACGCAAGGCTCTAAGATGAGACTTTGTCGTCGTCGTCGCCGCCGCCGCCACCGTGTCGACGTCGTCGTCGTCGTCGCGTGCGTGTCCTTTGTCGTGGATCACTCGATCGTGAAAAGATCGGGCTCTGCAGACCCCCAAGAAACCCTCCAAGAGAACCCCGAGACACCCCACGCAAGGCTCTAAGATGAGACTTTGTCGTCGTCGTCGCCGCCGCCGCCACCGCGACGTCGTCGGATCGTGAAAGCGTGGGCTCTACAGACCCCCAACAGACCCTCCAAGAGAACCCCAAGACACCGCTCCACGCAAGGCTCTAAGATGAGACTTTGTCGTCGTCGTCGCCGCCGCCGCCACCGCGACGTCGTCGTCGTGGGCTCTACAGACCCCCAAGAGACCCTCCAAGAGACCCCCCACGCACGGCTCTAAGATGAGACTTTGTCGTCGTCGTCGCCGCCGCCGCCCTGTCCTCGATCCCTCGATCGTGTAAGCGTGGGCTCTACAGACCCTCAAGAGACCCTCCAAGAGAACCCCAAGAGACCCCCCCCCGCAAGGCTCTAAGATGAGACTTTGTCGTCGTCATCGCCGCCGCCGCCGCCACCGCGACGTCGTCGTCGTCGTCGCGCTGTCCTCGAGCCCTCGATCGTGTAAGCGTGGGCTCTGCAGACCCCCAAGAGACCCTCCCAGAGACCCCCCGGAGACCCCCCCACGAGAGGCTCTAAGATGAGACTTTGTCGTCGTCGTCGTCGCCGCCGCCACCGCGACGTCGTCGTCGTCGTCGCGCTGTCCTCGATCCTCGATTCGTGAAAGCGTGGCTTCTACAGACCCCCCCAAGCGACCTCCAATAGAACCCGAACACCCAACGCTAGGCTCTAAGATGAGACTTTGTCGTCGTCGTCGCCGCCGCCGCCACCGCGACGTCGTCGTCGTCGTCGCGCTGTCCTCGATCACTCGATCGTGAAAGCGTGGGCTCTACAGACCCCCCAGGAGACCCTCCCAGAGAACCCCAAGACACCGCTCCACGCAAGGATCTAAGATGAGACTTTGTCGTCGTCGTCGCCGCCGCCGCCACCGCGCGTGGGCTCTACAGACCCCCAAGAGACCCTCCAAGAGACCCCCCACGCAAGGCTCTAAGATGAGACTTTGTCGTCGTCGTCGCCGCCGCCGACCTGTCCTCGATCCCTCGATCGTGTAAGCGTGGGCTCTACAGACCCTCAAGAGACCCTCCAAGAGAACCCCAAGAGACCCCCCCACGCAAGGCTCTAAGATGAGACTTTGTCGTCGTCGTCGTCGCCGCCGCCGCCACCGCGACGTCGTCGTCGTCGTCGCGCTGTCCTCGAGCCCTCGATCGTGTAAGCGTGGGCTCTGCAGACCCCCAAGAGACCCTCCCAGAGAACCCCCGGAGACCCCCCCACGAGAGGCTCTAAGATGAGACTTTGTCGTCGTCGTCGCCGCCGCCGCCACCGCGACGTGGTCGTCATCGTCGCGCTGTCCTCGATCCCTCGATCGTGTAAGCGTGGGCTCTACAAACCGTCAAGAGACCCTCCAAGAGAACCCCAAAAGACCCCCCCACGCAAGGCTCTAAGATGAGACTTTGTCGTCGTCGTCGTCGCCGCCGCCGCCACCGCGACGTCGTCGTCGTCGTCGCGCTGTCCTCGATCCCTCGATCGTGTAAGCGTGGGCTCTACAGACCCTCCAGAGACCCTCCAAGAGAACCCCAAGAGACCCCCCCACGCAAGGCTCTAAGATGAGACTTTGTCGTCGTGGTGGACGCCGCCGCCACCGCGACGTCGTCGTCGTCGCGCTGTCCTCGACCCGTCGATCATGTAAGCGTGGACTCTACAAACCGTCCAAGAGAACCCCAAGAGACGTCGTCGTCGTCGTCGTCGTCGTCGTCGTCGTCGCCGCTCCCAGAGCCTTCGGGGCCTCTCCTTGGCCCTCCTACGGAAAATCCTGCAAAACCTAGCGAATTAGTCGAGACATCCTCGAAATTCCTGCGCGCTGGACGCGGCACGCGCGAGACATCCTCGGAATTCCTGCGCGCGAGTCTTCCTTTGCATCCAAGTCCTGACCGAACTGATCTGGATCTGAAGCTCGAGCTTCCTGAACACATAGTAGCTGCCCCAGAGCTAATTGACAGGGGGACATGCCAGGAGGACGCGCCGCGAAACGTCCCCAGGGACGCGCCAGGCGACGTGCCAAGGGACGTGCCATGGGGTCGCACCGTAGGCCGTGCCAAGGGGACGCGCTACGGGACATCCTCAAAATTCCTGCGCGCGGGACGTGGCACGCGCGAGACATCTTCCGAATTCCTGCGAGCGGGACGTGAAAACAAGCATTTCGCCTGAGACATCCTCTGAATTCTGGCCCCCCACGAGGCCCCCGCTCGAGACATCCCCAAGTTTGCAGAAACCAGCGTTTCGCTCGAGACATCCTCAACAAATTATGAAAAACAAGCGTTTCGCTCGAGACATCCGGTCAAAATTCTAAGAAATCCTGACAAAACAAACGAATTAGTCGAGACATCCTCGAAATTCCTGCGCGCGGGACGCGGCCCGCGCGAGACATCCTTGGAATTCCCGCGAGCGGGACACGAAAACAAGCATTTCGCCTGAGACATCCTCTGAATTCTGGCCCCCCGCTCGAGACATCTCCAAATTTTGCGAAAACCAGCGTTTCGCTCGAGACATCCTCCACAAACTATGTAAAATAAGCGTTTCGCTCGAGACATCCTGCCAAAGTTCTAAGAAATCCTGACAAAACAAGCGAATTAGTCGAGACATCCTCGAAATTCCTGCGCGCGGGACGCGGCACGCGCGAGACATCCTCGGAATTCCTGCGCGCGGGGCGCTTTTCCGAGTCGCGGTCGGGGCTCCAGACCCCGTTATTTTTCGAGGATTCTGCGAAAAACGCTCCGCACCCTCTTTTTTACGAGGGAAAGCGGGGGTCTGCGGACCCCGTTATTTATCGAGGATCCGAGATGGGGGGCGAACTTTCCTCGAGCGGGCACGCACAAAACGCACTTTTTCTAAAAAAAATCAGCACTTTACCTCGTTATTTATCGCAAATAATTTCGCCGGCGCTTGACCCGTCAGATCCAGGGGTAAACAGCTAAAAGAGAACCCTGGGCCCGCGCCCTTTCCGGGAAAAACCAATGGGATTTGCCACATGTCCGAAATTCTGTGGGAAACCTAAGTGCACAGCAAACCGGTGCAGGTTCAAAATGCAACACTGAGTTCAACAATCTCATCATAATCTCAATTTCTCTTGCCGATGCTGCTTCACGGAGGCGCCGAGGCCTCATGATTTACCTCTTGCGTAGCCCAGTATCCGAGAGGGGGCCGGCGGCAGGGGGCGAAGCCCTTACGGATAACCAGCAGGATCAACATCGGGACAACCATTGGAACAACCAACACGACAACCATCAGGACAACCGCGGAACAACCGGCAAGACAACCATCGGGACAACCGTGGGACAGCCCGGCGTACACCCCAGCCAGTGCAGGGCCTAGCTAG